CGGCGCTGGGCCCCCTCTCTGGCGCGCGGAGCGCGCCAGGGGCGGCGCCGGAGGCGCCGCCGGGGGGCCCCAGCGCCGATCCGAGAAATCCGCGCGGACCTCCGAGATTTTATGTTTATGTCATTGTTCGTTCCCCTACGGCAGGTTCGTGTCGTGCCGACCCCAGCGTTGGTTTTTGACACCGCAGGGATCATTCAACCTTGAACGATCGGCCGCTGCCGCAACGTCCGATCGTTCAACATCGATCGATTCTGGGTCGCCGGCGGCGTTCAACCTTACACGCCCGCGGTGGGGTCGCCGCTGGTCGACACGACGCAAACCTACCGTACCGTCGTCGCGCGGGGCAGGGCTCCTTGGGTGGCGACGGGTCCCGGGGGCGTGGCTGCCGGGCCCCGCCGCCCCGCGACCCGCCGCCGTAGCCTGCGCGGGGGGCGGGGCGAAGGGGTGGCGGAGCAGAGGGGGGGCCAGGGGGGAGGAGGTGGGAGGAAGGAGGAGGCAGAAGGGGTGGGGGGGGGGAGGGGAGAGGGGTGCAGGATGGGGAGGGGGAAGAGGGGGAGGAGCGATGGGGAGGAGAGGGGCCAACGGGGAGGGAGAGAGGAGGGAGTGATGGCAGCTAGAAGAGGAAGGGGAGGAAGGGAGAGGAGGAGGAGGAGAAGAAGAAGGGATGATTGAGAAGGGGAGCAGAGGAGGAGCAAGAGGAACAAGACGAGAGAGGAGGGAGTGGCAGGAGAGGAGGAGGACAATGAGAAAAAGGAGGAGGAAGGACAAAAGGAGAGGGAGGACGAGGAGGCTGCCTCGCCCTTGTCCCTTCCACCCCCCCTCACACACTTCTTCCACCTTCTCCTTCACCAACTCCTTCGCCTCGTGCTGGACACCCAGGCATCTGAGTACTCAGGACAATTTCACCACGAATTATCCCTGGCAGGCCTCTACTTGTCATCAACCTATCCATCAGGGGGCCTAGACGGATCCTCCTCCTTCTCTTCTTGTTCGTCTTCATATTGGTATCCCTCCTCCTCCTGCTATTCCTCCTCCTCCTCCTCCTCCTCCTCCAGCTCATCATCATCATCATCATCATCGTCATCATCATCATCATCATCATCATCATCATCATCATCATCATCATCATCATCATCATCATCATCATCATCATCATCATCATCATCATCATTATCATCAGCATCAGCATCAGCATCATCATC